CAGAAGTCAAACGTGTTTTGTTAAAGAATGTGAAGTGATTTGGTTTTTAAAATGTTTTTTTTAGAAACAGTTTTTTTTTGTTTTAGATGGAAGCTTTTATGAGTACAGTGACGTAAGGAGATTGTATATCTTGATTTACACTTTTTAAGAAATAACTAATCTACTAGAGAAATGCATCTTTTGCATATGTAACTGGATAGAATCCAATGCAGCTCAAATGTAAATAAGTTAAAATTATTCCAGTAAAATTCAGTTACATTGTCTTTTTCCAGATACAGGTATTCATTACCCAGTTGTACTAAAGTAGCCAAATACAGTTGATTATGCAATGACAGCTGATAAAAACATATGTCTAAGAATCCCTGCTGATTTATTTTGCAGCAATCCCTCATCCTGAGTGAGCAACGTTGGGAAGGAACAGGTTTATTTAAAAGAAGAAAAGAGATGCCATTCTTCACCTGGCCTAATACGAGTGGGAACTTGCTGGTGGTTAACTGGAAGTGAAAACAAAAAACAAAGAAAAGAAAAAAAACAGTGACACACTGACCCAGGAGTATGTTTTTTGTGGAAAAGAAAACTAAGGACAAGCACAAGTAGTTAATGACCGCAATAGCTTTCTACGTTAGGACGAGAGCCGGGAGAAAACCGGGATCCGGTAATGAGTTTGTTCAGAAAAGTGACATCTAAACACGGAAGCACTGGGCTGAAAACAAGAAACGGAGAACTAAGAATCAGAGAAATATTAGAGAGTAGCAGGAGAAAGGAGTTTAAACTAGGATGTACCTTGGTCTATAATGACACTATGATTCTCTAAATCTACACTGATGACCAAATCAATGCCATCTAGAGTGAGTCGGTAGCTGTGTAGTTTTTTTTTTAAAATAAACATTTGTGGAAAAAAAAAAAAAATCCACATAATCAGCTGTTTCCAAGGCAGTTAAGGAGTTTGCAAGCCGCCTCTGCATTCAAGAGGTTGTAAGATGTAACCATTAGTTATGTGAACTGAAACTCTTTTTTTTCCAACTGAAAGTATTAATTCAGCACTATATTATCACTTCTTTAAACATGGTCATACTATGGTATCACTTCCGTTTAAGCACAACTGCATTCCAGCACAGTGATGTGATGCTGGTTGGAATCCATACAACCGTTTTCCTTGAGGCACGATATCGACTTTGGTACTTTTGCCTCCATGTCTTTTCCGAGTGTCACGAACCTGCAGGCATGATGCATCATGAATTAATATCTAATCACGCCCCGGCCTCCTGCAAGCCTGAACACAGGCAGGAATGTGTCCTCTGATGAAAAGACACACCCCTAGCAGCTATTCCATAAGTCCTTTTGCTTTATTCCTGACAAGTCATCTCAAAAAATAAATCCAACCTGGAGGAAATCTCCAATCATCAAAAGCAAATCTGACAAAAAGATTCACGTGGAAGTCGCACTTTCTTCTCAATTGAAGAGTGCTCTAGTGCCGTGGGGCTGTTGCTGCTAATCCCCTGTTATCCTCACTAACACAGATCGGATAACAGCTAACGGGACTTATCCAGAAGATCTTGAAAATCAGGAATTTGAGTACAAGCAGAGGAGAAAAGGATCAAACACAGAGAACATTAAAAAGTCTACACACTTCTGTCAAAACGCCAGCTGTTTGCAGTGCAATAAAACACAAGAACATGAGAGATAATTAACTTTAATGTGATGTATAAAGTTCAGTTGAAAAACAAGCGCTTATGTTTGAGGGCGATGTTTAAAAAGAACATTGAAGCTACAATAGCCTGTTTGAATCTTTATTGGTCCACCTTATGTATTAATTTTGCATTCTGTCTTTCTGTGAAGACATCTGTCATCAGCTATAGAGAATCTGATTAACCATAAAGTCTGTCAGGATTTTTTTTCACATTTGCTCCATTTCATCCTTTAGTTTACAAAGAGATAACAAAGCATCAAAAGGGCCTCATGGTACAAAGGTATAAGCCTGGAGAAGGTTACAAAAAATAATCTAGAGAAATATGTATATATTGGGTCATAATTAAGATGATCATCAATACCTGGAGAAAATGTGTAACAACAAGGACTGTATTACAATTGGATCTTTCTAAATAAAGACAATACATAATCTGGTAAGGGGCCTGCAAAGGGTTTTACAGTAACACTGAAGGAGTTGCAACAATTTCAAACTTATGCTGGTTAGATCCACATGTGACAACTCACTTTTTATCCGCCATATGTCTGAACAGCGGTAAGACAGAAGTCTTGTTGAAAAATGTGGCACGGCCTGAGAAAACTATGTTGTAACTCATATTAGACAATTTGATTTAATGACTCAGATGCTGATGACTGGTCAGAAAGTATCTGATGTAGCTCTATGTACTACAGTGAATCTGAAGAACTCTCAGACTGAAGACATCATTGTTGTAAAACAGTTTCATGAAGAGGATTTTCAGGGTTTTTTTTTAATTTTTTTTATGATTTTCAGAAGAGTTCCTCTTTGCATCATCATCTCCAGAGGTTCCACAGAAATCCCCAGAATAAAAACAGCTTTTTTTTAAATTTTTTTATTTTATTTTATTTTTTTTTTACATTTTTTTTATTTTTATCAGGTTGCTGCTTTATTCCCTGGCTCTGATGCTGCTACCCAACAGATGATGGAGAAGAAAGTACAATCTCCACAACAGAATACATGCAGCATATTGCTGCAAGACTTTAAGAACCTCAACTTGCTCAGTAATGAAAGTCTGCTATGTTCCTTCTTATAGGCACTTCACTGTTGAATCTCCAGTCCAGTCTGTTGTCCAGATGAACACCGAGGTATTTATATTCCTCAACCACCTCCATTTCTTCTCCCATGGTGGAAATAGGGTTTGATCTTACCCTGTTTCTCCTGAAATCAAAAAAAATTTCATTTGCTTCATTTACATTCAAGAGGAGATCTACCAGATCTCTTTACTCAGCTACTTGTCCCTCTCTGCTACAACCAGTGCCTGCAGTTAGAGGTGGCTGCATATCTCAAGGCCGAATGCTAAAAAACGGTGAAAAAAACAGTGTTTTAAGAAAGTATTTAGAGATGTGCACACTTAAACATGCTGTTGCATCTTTTTTTATTTATTTTAAATTATTTTTAATATTTTTTCCTCTAGTCAGATCGGGCTGCCTTTTAGTTGAAATGTATTTGGTATTGGGTCATAATTAATTACCAAAGAAATGATGCGATGTTCTTTGGTAAAATTAGTTTCCAATCAATCTAAATATATAGAAAGAATAATAAAGACGCAGCAGATTCAGTATTCAGCAGAAGCAGACTAAAAGAGAAGTCATTTTGTTCAGGGAAATGATTTGGCAACACTGAGTTTTGAAATTAATTGCTTAAACTCCTAAGCTTGAGAAAGGCAGCTGTAGATTTTAATCTATGGAAATGCTGGAAACGTACGGAAACGTTTGTTAAAGTCTACAAGTCGTTTCTTTTGCTGTATCTATACAGACGTGGAGGATGGATAAATATATTTTCACTTCTCTGTTACTGTGAAAAAGACCTTAACAACTTTTGACTGATGTAGAATATGATTGTGAGAGGAATTTACCATTAGTTAAAAATATGCTCACTCAAAAAAAAAAAAAATCTAATTTGATCTTTAACGCCAAAGAATATTAAACATATACTATTGTATATTATATAAAGAATGTATAATATGGTGATGCCTTTCCATGAAATGCCTTGCAAATATAATAAAACCCTCTGAGCTCCCTTTTTTTTTTGCATTTTGTCTAAACTCCATTTCAACTGGGCAAGGAGAACTTTAATCTGAGTATCATACTTATTTGATTTTTATTTGTAAAAACTATTGTAACAAAACAGTTTGCACAATTACAAACTACTTTGTTATAATCTGAAATATAAAGACCCAATCAAAAGCACTAAGTGTGTAGTTGGAGTGTGGAAAAATTCTGGGGGTATTTACATCTTTTTACTTGCATCCCATGTACATTAAATACCAACAACAACAAAAAACTGCAACAAAACAATCTTTATTAATTGGTTCAAAAGCACACAATTTCAAAATGCATTTTATACTTTCCCAAAAACATGTTTCTCTGTCTTATATGCACATTGAAAAACATTGACATAAAGTGCTTCACAGTAACATTCCTTAGATTTTATTTACAATGTTCATATTGGGGGAAGCAGGAAGAGTCTAAGGGGAGGACTAAAAAAAAAAAAAAAAAAAAAAACATAAACCAAAGCTTCACAGAAAGTCCTGGGCTCAAAAATGCCCTTTCTTTGTAGACTTCACTCCAGGTATTTTGGTGGCCTCTCACAGTCCAAAAATAGTGATAAGGTTAATCAGTCACTGCTCTTTAGTTTAAGTTATACATTGTTTCCATGCGTGGTTCTGGTGACCTGTCCAGGGTGGGCCCCTTCTCTTTCCCCTTGGCCACTGGAGCACTTTCTCGGAGTGGATAGGAAATGGATGGATGAGGTCGTCAATGAGTATCATTTCAAAACATTTCTAAACATCTGGATTAGATCTGGGAGTTTTTGAGAGACTTCCTTCGTATAGACTCGTAGGATTCCTCATTGAAAAGTCTTTCAATTGTTGAGACGAGTGAATTTTTGATGGCACGGCCCAGACCTCTGGCAGCAAACACGTACAGCACAGGATTAAGAGCACTCTTGATGTACACCAGAAACAGAGAGATATATACGGCCTTCGTTGCTGAATAGAGCGATGCAGGGTTATTCTTTGCCAGGGCTTGCACGAAGCGACAGACAAAGTAGGGCACCCAGCAGGTGAGAAAGAGGACCATGGTGGAAAAGAGCACATGGTACATCCTGGTCATCTTGCGTGCCATCGATGGCGTTGTGCCACTCGGTGTTGAAGGCATGGCTTTGTTAATGGTGAGCAAAACAGCCAAGTTACTTGCCACGAATACCATGAGAGGCAATATGAAGCCTGCTATTGTTTCTGTCAGAAACAATCCTAGATTAAAATCTCCACTCT